TTGACATTCCGTTCGAAGAAAGAAAAAGAGCAGCATAGTCTGTTTAGAAAAATGTCTGCATTCCGAGCATATGAAGCAAAACTCAATGAAATTCATGGTGTTGATGGCTTTTCTGATGAAGAAATCTTGGAATCAGAGAAGGCGTCAGTGCGTATACCATCGACGCCATCTTTGAATGTACGAATTAGATCCGATTCACTATCAAAGTCATCTTTGTACACACCGCACAGTAATGAAGTAACATGGTGTGGACAAACAGCCGCAATAAAAGAACAAGAAATGCGCGAAATACAGAAACATGGACGAGCAAGATCACGAACACTTCCGGTTCAACAGGAACCACTACTTAAACTACCTCAAGAAGGTTTTATTTCAAAGATGAGACGCCGGTTTATTTCCACTGATAGTTATAAAGAAAAAGACGTGGAAAAAGCAGAAATTCCTCCTGTGGTTGATTCAAGACCGGAAAGGGTCCGGAAACGCGCCCAGAGTGAAAGCTTTAATCTCATGGATGCTGTCAGTATCTTCACTGATGAAGAACAAAAGGAAGTTGATCAGTTATCGAAGATGTTGGCAACACTGCTTGATCAACAGGAAGTACGGACTAAAGTTGAGAATATTTCACCGCCGAGGTTGCGGCGAGTGCCGATTGTACCTATGGTAAGCCGGAAAGGTTCCTTGATGCCTCCAAGTCCTTCTCAATTCCATGGTGGACGTAGATTCTCATTGAATCCTGTTGATGATGGTAATCATATTCCGATTAGTCCTGCTCTGACTAAACAAAGGAGGTTTTCATTGAGACCACAAGTCAGTATATCAAACACGCCTAGTCCTGTGCATAGAAGGATGAGAAAGGATAACAAAGACAATGTTATTATTGAACATGAACAAATGAAGTAAACAAAACTGTTATGAACAAATATTATCTAGGATATATTAGGAGATAGTGTATTTATTCCGTGTTGTTTTCTATTGTTTTATTGATTTTTAGTAATATTACTAATATTTAGTAGA